AAGGGTCTCGGCGCAGTCGTGGGCGCCTTCAACTCTGGCAACGCGGTGGCCCACAAGAAACCCATCAAGCACGTGCCCACGTTTCCAGAGGAGGGGGTCGCCAAGGACGTGCTCGGAGACTTTCGCGTTCGCTCCCGCTGGGAGGTTGGGCGCGTCTCCCAAGACAAGTTCGCGCGCAAATGCCGCGCCGTCTGCCCGCCCGAGGGCTGTCCCATGTCGAGCGAGGCAGAGCGCGACAGGGCGATCAATCGCCTGCCCCCGTTCTTTGACATCTCGGCTTCCGCGGGCTCGGGGGCCCAGACTGACCGGAGGAAGAGGCGGCTCTCGAAGCCGTGGGGGCGCGCGCTCGAACGCCAGAAGTTGGCCGCGGGGGGCCTGGCGAGCGCGGCGGCAAGCTCTGATCAGGGGGTCGGCGGGGGCCAGCGAGGCGCGCCGGCGACGGTGGCGGCGGCGCCCCAGGCGGGCGATCAGGGCGGAGCACCGCTGGCGCGCGCGGGGCGCTGGCCGACGGGCAGCTCGCGACGGCGGGCCGCCGCGTGGCGACGGCGAGCCGCGGCGCCGGCTGGCCGCGAAGCTCGGGCGGCGCAACGTAAACGCTTGCATCCGCAGCGCGGGGCTCCATGCCGCGCTTCGGGGCGGGGGCCCCGCCGGAGGGGGGCGTGTGAGACGGCCGCCGCGGGGCCGGGGGCGCGTCGGGCGCGGCGGTCGCCTCGTGTCTGGGGGCAGGCTGACCGTTCCCGGCTGAGAGAAAAACCGCGCGCGTTCGCCCCTCTGGCTGGCGGGGGCCCAGAGGGGGCGCGCCCGCCGGGTTGCCCCGAACCCCTGCCGACCGGTGGAATGGTGGAATCGCAGCCGGGGGCGTCGAGTTCCTGGGGGTCGCAGGCGCCCTGCGTAGAAAGCTCTTGGCACTGCCGCCCGAAACAGAGGAACCGTCGTCACCTCGCTCTTCCCCTTTTTACGGTTACCGCACAGCTATAAGGGCTGCTGGGCCCAATAGAGGATGCGCCTCCGCGTGACTGCGCGAACGTGCGTTCTCTGCTATGCCCGACGTCTGTGGCCACGTGGGCTCATCCGCTCGGCCGCCCCCGAATGCAGCAACGATCACCTCTGGGCATCTGTCTCTGGGGGTGGCAGGCGCCCCGCGTGCAGGGCCCCCGGCGCCGCCGCCCATGGAAAAAAACGCAATCGCCTCAGTCATCTCCTTCTGCCACCATCGCGCCGCTATGGGGGCTGATCGAAGACGCTGCTTGTTGCCCTCAAAGCTTAGTTGTGGCCGTCGCAGCCTCGCAGGTGGTCCTTTTCCGTAGGAAGGGTTGCCATGGCGATTTGACTTCCGAGTCGTCGCTAGCCGAATCCCAGTAGTCCGCCTTCCAGATATCGACGCTCCGATCGGCGTTTTCCTCTTGGTCGTTTTCCTCGTGCTCCGCGTCGCCCCCCTCGTCGCAATTCAGCAGCTCAGCAGCTCAGCAAGAAGCAGATCCGGCGCCTCCGGTAGCTGTGCTGGTGGTTCTCGCTGCTCTGCTCGTAATTCTTGTAGCTCAGCTTTTGGCCCTCTTGGTGCAGTTGGGGGTGCTCGTTGCCCTGCTCTTGGCCCTCGCAGCCCTGCTTGCAGCGCTCGTCGCTCAGATCGTGGTCCTCGCAGCCCTGCCTGTGGCCCTTGTGGTTGAGCTTGCGGTCTTCGTAGTTCTGGAGGTGGCTCTCGTAGCTGTGCCTGTGGCCCCCGTAGCTGAGCTTGCAGTGCACGAAGGACTGGCAGTTTTCCTGCAAGCTCTGTTGGTGGATGTTGCGTTTCTGCTGGTTGTTTTGGAGGTTGAGGTGGTGGCCCTCGTAGCTTTGCAAGTAGGCCTCGCGGCTCTGACGGTGGCTCTTGAAGCTCAGCTCGCGACCTTGGTAGCTGAGATGGTGGCTCCAGTGGATCGCCAGGTGGTCCTCGCAGCCCTGCTTGCGGCTCTCGTAGCTCAGCTGATTGCTCTCGTAGTTCTGCCTGTGACTTCCGAAGCTGTTGTCCTCGCAACTCGGCTGGTTGTCCTCGATGTTCTTCTGCAGGTCCTCGTCATTCAGCTGGTCGTCGGAGTTCGCCGGTCCTCGCTGCGAAGCTTGGATGTCCTCTTCGCGCTCGTGCACCTGGCCCGGGAAGCAGTCGAGGAATGCGTCCACGTCGGAATCCACGAGGTCAACGTTGGAGTCAACGGCTGCCAAGACGTGGGATTCAAGGCTCTGGGGGCCAGCGCCATTCAGCAGTTCGTACTGGCCACGCGCAGGTCGCTCGGTAGGTGGCAATGATGCCACAGCTGGTGGCTCTCTACGATCGGCTGGTGGTACTCGAAGCTCTGCTGGTGACCCTCGGGCCGCTGCTGGTGGTTCTCGAAGCGCTGCTGGTGGCCCTCGTAGCATAGAGGGTGGCTCTGGAGGCTTTGCTTCTTGCAGTCGTAGCTCTGCTGGTGGCCCACGTCGCGTGGCGGGTTGCTCTAGTAGCTCTGCGCGTGAGACTCGTGGCTCTGCTTGGAACCCTCGTAGCTCTGGTGGCAGTGAGAGGGGACTGCATGTTGTGTACTCGTCGTAGAAATTGTGCTCGCAGTGCTCGTAATAAACGTCATGCTCGAGCTCGTCTTAACCGGTGCGACCGTAGTCCACATGTACCTCCACGGCGACGTACTTAGTAACCCCTTCGGGCTGCTCGGTCGTGTGGTTCCTGGCGTCAGTTTTGGTGGTGTACTTGGTGTCGTACTTGTGGTTGTTCTCGTCCTCGGGCTGCCTGCTCCGCAGCTCATTCTCGGACTTGGGCTGTCTGTTGCGCAGCTCGTTCTCGTACTAGAGCTACTTGTTGCGCAGCTCGTGTCTGGGAGCTTTCGCGAGGGCGGTCGTCGCAATGATAATGATGTCGCCGGGTCGAGGCTGTATTCCATCTCGGACGTTGTACCCCACTAGTTTTTGGGCCGCTTCAGTCCGCGTTCGTGCTCCAATATGCGTGTATGGTCTCGGCATACTTGCTGGCGGGTCTCCGCAAGGGTGGCCGGTCTCGTAAGCCAGCTGGTGGTAGTTTCCTCCAGCTGGTGGATGATGTTGTAGTCGCGGTTGATCACATTCACGCGGCATGCGCGCCGTCCGCCTCCGATGGCGCGGCGGCGCGCTGAGGCCGGCCCCCCCCAGGGCGCGCGCGGGGGATAGGGTTCCCGCAAACGGCCTTCCTCCTGCTCCTCCTCCTCTTCCTCCTGCAGGAGAGGTTCCGCTTCGCAGCCCTGGCGCGCCGCGGCACGGAACCCAGGCGCCAGCCTGGGAACCAAACCGCATGCCGAGACACGCTGGTACGGCAGCGGTGCTCACAGCTGCACCGCGGGGCACGGGAGGAGCTGCCCAGAAAGGCGCGGGCCGCTGGCCGCAGCCTGGAGCGCGCGAGGCGGGGAAAGAGAGGGGGGAAAGAGAGAGGAGGACGAGGAGGAGGAGGAGGGGGAGGAGGAGGAGGACGAGGAGGAGGAGGAGGAGGACGAGGAGGAGGAGGAGGAGGAGGAGGAAGAGGAGGAGGAGGAGGAGGAGGGAGCCGGCTGCCGACTCGCCCTCCCGCTCAGAATTGCGGAAGGCACTCCAAGGAGAAACTCGAAATGGCTTCGAACATTGGCGGGTGGTGCTGGCCGGGCCCGCCGCCACGTCTGCCCTCTGCAGCCTCTGCGACCGCTGCAATCGGAGACCTGCTGAACGACGCAGCTGACGCGTTGGCACTGCTGATACCCTCACTGCTCAACAAGCCAGGCGGCGGCGTGCGCCCTTGAGCCGCGCCCATCACTCTCCGCCGCCTGGCGGGGAGGGCGTTTGTGGCGCCGATGGAGGAAACACGGGCAGCCGCACTAGGAGGCAGCAGTTCCTCATTGCCACACGGGCAGACGACGAAATACTGGCTCACACCATGAGGGCAATCACGGAGACCGAGGCCAACACAGACCTGGTCAGGCGCGAAGAATGCGCACGGCACCGGGAGCCGGGAGAGTTTCCTCGGCGAACTGTGGCGCCAGACCCCGTTCCACCTTCGCTAGATCGTCCTGCCGCTCGCATTCCCAATGCTTCTTCCGGGACAAGCACGGGGGCTGTCAGTCGCGGCCTGCGCGTGGCGGGCGGCGTGGACCTGGCGCTGCTGCTCTTCGCCTGCGGCGCCGGGACTGAAGGAACTCGAGGAGGCACTGCGAGGGGCCGCGGCTGCGCCGAACATGTCCGCAGACTGGCCCACCAGGACGACATAGTCGCGCTTGCGCTCGTTGCACTGGCCAGCGCTGCGGGGCCTGCGGCGCAGGCTGCACGTAGAAACGGCATGCCTGGGCGGCGCGCGCGGCCTGCCCGCAGGGGCTGGAGCCGCGCTGACGCCTAGGCGGCCTTACGCCGCTGGCCGTCCCGCTCGGCGAGCCGCTGCCGCCAGATAGTACGACAGACGAGAGCGACGGGCGCTGGCCAGGCCTGGGCAGCGCTTGAGACCGCAGAGAACGGCAGCGTTGCTGTGGAGGCTCGCCAACCTGCCCGCGCAGGCGTCGCCCCGCTTCCTGTCGGCGCAAGCGGCGAGGCTCCCCCCGCGGGTTCGGGGCACGGGCTGGTCCGTGCCCCCGCGGTGCTGGGAGCGTGCCAGGAGCTCGCGCGCCTCGACCCCCCGCAGGCCGAAAAGCAGACGCAACGCCAGTTACCGCTGCGGCGGGGTGGGGACTCCAAGGCCTGCGCGCGCTGGCGCTGGTCGCTCTGGCAGTTTCCTGTGCGCAGAGCCTGGCTGGCGCCGCCAGGGAGTGCCGCACTGTCCGCTTGCGGCGCATCCTCCCTCCTTTTCCCTCCTCCTGCTCCTCCGCTTCCCCCCTCCCTCGCGTCTCGTCCAGAGGACAGCCGGACGGCTCCCCATCCGCCCCGCTTGGGAGGGGTTGCGCTCCACCACGCACGCTGTTGCACACCAGGTCTCCCCCTCCCCCTCCCTCCCTCCCTCCCTCCCTTCCCCCCCCCCATCCCTTCCTCCCTCCCCTCCTTCCCAGGGCCTGCCGCGCGTCTGGTAGTAGGGCGCGTGGTTGGACCGCAGGGCGATGGCCTCGCTTCGCCGGGCAAAGGAGGGACTGGGCGGGCGGCCGACGCTCGTGGTCTTCGGGCCCCGCTGGGCGCGAGAGATCCGCGGCCTTCGGCTCGGACCGGGCCAGCCTGGCCTCGTCGGCGCACCGCGCGCGTGTGTTGGAGCGCCTTCGGCGCGCGTTGGCCGTCCGCGGCGGGGGCCGACGTAGCGCCGTCGGCAGAGGTGGCGGGGTGGGCCGAAGGCCAGCAGATCCGCTGCCCCCAAGAGGCTCCCAGAACGCCTCCAGGAGGCTCGGAAGGCCCAGGGGGGCCTCCTCTTCTCCCACCTCCTCCTCCTCCTCCTCCTCCTCCTCCTCCTCCTCCTCCTCCTCCTCCTCCCTCTCCTCCTTCCTCCTCTTCCTCTCCCGAATGCTCCCCCAAAGGGGTTCCACAACGCACGGGGGAGCCCATCGTCCACTAGCTTGGCCAGACTCGGCGACCCGTAAGAGTGACCCTCGGCGAAAGTGACCTTTGGTGCGCGCCTTTCGGGGGCCGCAGGGAGGTCAATCCTGGAGCGTGCAAGCCGCTGCTGCAGTATCACAGTCGGCCATTTGGGGATCCTGGTGTGCCCGCGCCCAAGTTCACTCCAGCGAAAGCTCACTCTTACGTATAGCCGACAGACCTCGGCTCAGCCTTCGGGCCGCATGGGCGTCTTCAGAAGGCGCTTTCGGCCCGCGGGCGCGGAGGCGCAACGGTGGCCTCGGACAGCGCACGCACGCACGCCGCGTACTCCTCGGCGGCGCCGGCGGTTTGCGCCCTCCGAAACTGCGCCTCGGGGGGCGCGGGCGCGTGGCCGCGCCTCTCCGCGTGGCCGCTGTGCCTCTCCCTCGCCTCCTCCTCCTCCTCGTCCTCCTCCTCGTCCTCGTCCTCGTCCTCGTCCTCGTCCTCGTCCTCCTCCTCTTCCTCCTCCTCTTCCTCCTGCTCCTTCTCCTCCTCGTCCTCCTCCTCCTCGTCCTCGTCCTCGTCCTCCTCCTCTTCCTCCTCCTTTTCCTCCTCCTTCTGCTCTTGCTCCTCCTCTTCCTCCTCCTCCTCCTCCTCCTCCTCCGCCTCCTCCTCCTCCTCCTCCTCCTCCTTCTGCTCCTGCTGCTCCTCCTCGTCCTCCGCCTCCTCCTCCTCCTCCTCTTCCTCCTCCTCCTCCAGGTGCCGTTTGGGCTCCCGCGTGCCTGGGGGGCGCGCGCGGCGGGCGCATCCACGCGGCCCCAGCTGCCAGCGGCCCACGGCCCTCGTGGGCGCTGGTGCGTCCTGGCCACGGCGAGCCACCTGCTCCACCGGTCGCCAGCGCCAGCCTGGCACAGGAGGCAGAGGCGGCGGAGAGCCTCGGCCCGCCAGGTCCTCCGCGAGACGGAGGCTTTCAGCACTCCGGCTCGCCACCACGGCGAGGCCATGGCGGAAGGCGCTGCAGCTCGGAGCGCCCCGTGGCGTGCCGCACCATCGCGTGGCAGCGGAGGAGCCACCTGGGCGTGTGTGGCCACGCGGGCATGCGGCTTCGCCAATACCTTCGAGACCTGCGAGTCCTGCTGGGCCTGCGGCAGGTACCGCCAGGGCAGGCCCACTGGCGCGAAGGGCGAGCGCCACCCTGCCAGGCCGTGCTCGGCAGGCAGGCCCCGCCCCGCAGGTGCTGGTGCTGATCGTGCTGCTCGTGGTGGCGCTGGCGAGGACGACGCGGCCATGAACGTCGGCTCCAGCGTCGCGGAGTCCAACGCCGTGGGCAAGTGCAGGAAGGCCCTCAAGGTGCTGCGGGACATCTACGATGACAAGCGCCAGCTCGTGCTTGCCGCCAGGGCGGAGCTCGCCGAGGCCGAGGCCGCCGAGCGCGCCACCTTGTCGCAGGGTGACGTGCTGCGCTCGGTCCTGGATGGGCAAGCAACCCGTGAGGCAGAGCGGGCCAAGCTCCAGACGGAGGTGGGCAAGCTCACCGAGCAGCTCCACTCGGCCACGGAGAATCTCAACATCGTCAAGCAGCAGCTGGTGGAGTCGAGCCCAGAGGTGGCGCAGACAGAGCTTGCCAACGCCGCGCCCCCGATCGGCGGCGACGCGGCAACCGCGGCGATCGCCCCTCAGCAGCTCCTCCAAGGGGCCCGCAACTTCACCCAGCAGGGCGAGCACCGCAACGTGGTTGGAGGCGCAATCGTGGAGCAGCTGGTGGGCCATGTGCGAGCGCTGGGCGCAGTCATTCCTCAGCAGCCCGCGCCCTTGGCAATCGACCCCTTTCGCGCCGCGGGCGGGCAGCCCGCTGGCGCCGTCGCCGCAGCCGTCGCAGCAAGCGCCCGAACGGCAGCAGCCACGCAGGCTGCACCAGGCGCCATACCAGTCCCAGGGGAAGATGCTGTGCAATGGGAATACGCGGGCACCGCGCAGAAGGACGAATCTACTGGGCGGTCCACCACGGGCGTAGTCACCTTCAGTGGGTCTTGTTGGATCTCTTGCGAGAAATTGTTGGATGGGGCCGCAGACGCGCTGGTGGTCTCAGAACAAGAACTTCGATTAGATGGATAGGCTCTGGATCAGGCCCGCGCGTGGGCGACTCGGAATGGATGGTTGCCATTCATCAGCCAATGCCGCAGGCTAGAAGCCAAACTGCAAAGCGCGGGCGTTGGGGTCGTTGTCAAGGAGCATGGGTCCGCTACCTTCATCAATGGACTTGGGGGAGTCGCTGGAGGTTTTGAGATCCTGCGCTCGTGGGCGGTGGCTGTGCGGGTACATGCGAGAGTTAGAGGAGGCTTCGTCGTCGGCTCGGCATGCCTCGAGTCGGTGCCGCGGGTGGACTTCCTCATCGCCAACTACCAAAAGGTCATGCGCATCGCCAAGTGCATGCGATACTTCTCCGCCCCCTTCCTGTTCGCGGGCGGTTGAAATGCGTAGCCCACTCTTTTGGGCGAGCTCGGTTTCTCGCAGGTGCTGCCCGTGGCGGCGGTGGCGCCAACTTTCTCGGGCACGTGTCGGTCACCTGTTACGGGTGCTTCTAGGGCGTTGACTAAAGGCTGACCCCGCCTGATTTCATCAGGGCCTGCGGCGTGCCATGCGCGATCGATGCATGGGCTGCGAGGCCCCGCTGGCGCGACTGCGGGTCCGAGGGCGACCGCGCAGATCCACTTGCGCGCGCCCAAGCCGTTCCCGAAGCAGGTCACGCGCTACAGGGGTGCCAGCCCGCTTCTGGGACCTCCTCAGATGTAACCGCATTTGGAAGTGGTGCGACGCGATGCGGCTCGAGGTTGCCCTGGGAATGGTGTTCAGGCCCAGGCTCGGTCGGGCGACTCGCACGCTGACATCACCCCCTCTGCGGGGCAGGATGTCTGCGACATCCGCCAGGTCGAGGAGCCTGAAAGGCGCTGTGGCAAGGCGAGCAAGCATGCTTATGTCTGGCGACCCTTCGGTGGCCCCACACTCAGAGGCAACCCCGTAGCAGACCCGGAGGCGAGGTGCATTCGCAACGTGGCGATTGCACTCCAGGGCCTTGCCATGGGGGTGGAAAGGGACCTCGCGCAATGCAGCAGATAGGTACGCATCGCTCGCGCTCCTCGCCCTGGACATCGCCAAACCATGCATTCACCAGGCGACAATTTACTTTATGAGAGTGGGCGCTGCCAATCTTGCGTTCTGCATGCAGGTTGGGGCGCCCGTGCAACGTAATGGTCGCCCAGGCTTTTGGGCAGACGTCTGAAGCGCGCGCGACCTCGAGCACGCGGTAGCTACTATGAGGGTGACGAGCTTTCACGCGTGGGCACAGGGCGCCCTCGTCGCAGGAGCGGCGCCTATCTTTGGCGTGGCGAAGCTGAAGGGATGGGCGCATAATGAGGTTCGGAATTTGCAAGGCCCTGCTGCAGGCCGCCCCTGACAGCCAGATGGATTTCTGGAGTGACGCACTGCAGGGCGAGAAGGTATCGGGGGTCGCCGACGGGGGGAAGCTCTTCGCAAACGTGGCGGGTGGTCGCGAGGGCGAGGGCCAATGCGACGACGGATTCGAGGTGGGCCGCGTCGCCGACGGCACCTGCGATGTTTTCGCGCTTATCCGCGCTGTGCCTGCGGACGCGCTACCTGTGCCTTCACTTGCTGGCGTCCGTCGCGCGCCGGTGTCCTCTGCGTGGAAGACGGGCCTTGGGGGCGGATGCGATGCTGCCGAGGGCCGATTCCCTCCTCGTGGATGGCGCCATCGCCTCTCTGGCATGCCGCCTCTGGGCGTCCGAGGCCTGGGGCCGCTGGCCCACCAGCGCCACGATGATCCACGTGCTGCTCCTCGCGAAGCCGCAGGGCGGCCTCGGGCCCGCCGCCCTGCCCCAGCCCTCCATCTACAGGGCCTGCGCCAAGGTCGGGGTCGTGCACGCGCGGAGATGGGCGGCCCACGCGCGCCTCTTCTTCGCGCCTAGGCTCGGGGAAATCCACAATCGACGTCGGGGCCCGCGCGCTGGTCGCGGGGCTGAGGCCGCGAGCGCGGGCGTCCAGGATGCCATCGTCGCCGCGCTGATCAGCATCGGCAAGTGCTTCGGCGGAGTGGTGTGGGCGAAGATCGTCTTTGCAGCCATATCACTTCGGCTTCCCCTCTGGGCGTCCCTCGTGATGTCCTGGCCATGTATGCGGCGCCGCGTCGCATCCGCCAGGGCACCGCCTGCTCCTGCGCCGTGAAGGCCAGGCAGGGAGCTCTTCTTGGCTGCTCGGTGGCCATGTGTCTGTTTCAGCTGGTCAGGATGATGCCGTTCGACGCATGCCAGGCGTCGATCACGCGCGCTCCGTGCACCCTGAATGTTTACGCTGGTGATATTACCCTCCAGAGTATGACGAAGATGGATGGATGAGATCGGACAGGTGCCCCAATCAGCTATTGGGCGCCTGGCGGTTGTCTTGCGAGCGCTGGGGCTCTCCCTTGCCGGGGACAAGGCCGAGGCCCCTGGCTCCACGGAGGCCATCGCCATCAAGGTTGCGAAGGGCCTCTCCGGCTTTGGCTTCCAGACCGTCAACAGGTTGAATGTCTCGGGGCCGGACTGCCTCGCGGGAGCGCGGCTCACCTGGAAGATGAAGGAGATGATCCCTCGCTTCAGGAAGCTCATGGGCATCGCGAAACTTGCCAAGCGGATCGCGCGCCCCCGTTTGGCGCCTGGCATGATCTGCGGCCTCCGCGAGGTAGGGGCCCCACTGCCCGCGATCGCCGCGATGGCGGACCTGGTTCGTGCAGGAAGGAGCAAGACCCTGGCTGCATCTTCAACGTGGTTCGCCTCGATGCTGGAAGACGCGCCCCACCAATTGCCAGACTCGACGGCTACTGCGGTGGAGCCGATCTTTACGTGGGCGCAGCCGGTATTTGATCGGTTGATTCCAATGGATGTGTTGGAGCGCGCGTGGCGGTTGCAGTCATCGGCGATGACGGCTGTTACCGCGTCATGGGGTGCGGTTGCTGGTCCTGCGGGCGCGGTGATCCTCAACCTGCGCCGACTGGGGTGGCGAGCGCATTCGGCTTCGCATTGGGAGACGAGCAATTGTATGACGTAGAAGCCGGATGAGGTAACGCCTACATGGGTACGCACTGCAGCCAGTCGCATTTACATGTCGGTCAAGTGGAGGGTGGGCAACCAAGACTGAACATGCTCCAAGGCTCCCACATGCTCTGCGTGATTCACGAGTAAGGGCTCCCAACTTCGCGCTTCGCGCTGCGCGAAGCGCGAAGTGCGAATAACTTCGCGCTCTCGCGCCGCCTCCCAGGGGAGAAGAGGAGGACGAGGAGGAATCGGAGCCGAACCGCGAAGCGCGAAGCGCGAATAACTTCGCGCCCTCGAGGGAGC